GAATACCACGGGATCACAAGAACCTGGTGAACAGATGCCCCCACACTTGATGGAGAAGAAACCAAGCAGGACTTGTGTCTAAGAAATAAGCTTTGTAAGCCTCTTGCTGAAGAGGCCATTGTGTGAAAGTACCAGAGAGACTGGGTCCTTCAACCATCCAACTCTACCACACATCTCAGGCACCATCACCAGACCATTTGAATCTCCAGCTCCTACTCTCTGGCTTAAGAGGACAAATGAGGATGAGGTAAGAGTCATTTGTCTCCTTATTCCAAAGTGACTTCCCCATATTAGGTGTGCCAGAGTCAATGTACCTGGTCAGATATGAGAGAGGCTTCAAGGCTTCACTCTGGTCAAAGATGGACCTATAGGCAACTCTCTCTCTCTCTCTTTCTCTCTTTCTCTCTCTCTCTCTCTCTCTCTCTCTCTCTGTGTGTGTGTGTGTGTGTGTGTGTGTGTGTGTGTGTGTGTGTGTTTCTTTCAATTCCACAGATTACTGTTCTACCTGGTCCAAAGGGAACCACATTTCTAAACAATAAACCAACTGAGCCAATTGACTGTTTCCTCTTAAGTTCTAACCCTCTCAGTGGTGAATCCAACAAATCCCCTCCTAGGACCCTCGATGTCCATCAGAAATGCTATATTAGGGCATTTACTGCCTCACTAGGTGCCCTGTCTCCCACCACTTCCCTTGATCTTTGAACCTATCCATACTTGAGCCCTTGGTTCTACATGAGCAGAATATCCCCTTGTCTGGAGATCAAGTGGAAAAAGAACAGGAGAATCATTCTTCATTTTTCACTTTTTCATTCAGCTGTGGTACCTACTACAGGTGAGACTTGGTACTGAGCTCCTGGGATGCAGGGCTCAGCAATACAGAGAGGGCTCTACGGAAAAGGTAAGTGTGGCTTAGATCCCACTGTTCGGTGAGAAATGCCAGACAAATCCATCTCTCCCATCTTCCTCATACTTCTCATCCAATCCTAACCTTCATGTTCATCAAGCTTGTCCACAGCTGGAGTCTATCGTAAACCCTGCCTCCTGGCAATAGTGCTTTATTCTTGTGTGACGTTAGCTCTGTTTGATTGCTAATGGTTGGACACTCGGAATAACTGAGGCTCAATTCTTTATCCCCAGAGTCAGTTTCCTTCTATAGAGATCCTGTTTCTGGTTCTGTGAACTAATTTTGACTCTAATTGATATAATGTGACTCATTCACCCATCATCTCCTCCACTTCTAAACTCACAACCATGGACCAGTGGCCTTGTCCATCACCCTGTTCCTGTATGCCAGGGTAAATAAGCATTCCTTTCCACTGTGCTTAAATAGGTGTGTGTGTGTGTGTGTGGTGTGTGTGTGTGTGTGTTTAAATACACCTCCAAATTGAATTAATTAGAGGAATAATATATTTGTGAAATATGATGCCTGTTCCTAGTGAAGCTGCTCATGAATGACCACAGGATGGCCATACTGTCACAATGTCACAATCTGATTCGTAGTTCTGATTCGTAGTGTTCACTTTTAGCTTTTCAAATGCATGTGAATGGTATTATGATCAAGGTGGAACATCACAAACAAGCAGGGTCAAGCCTGGTTAAATGTCAAGGGTTCAGAGAACTCTCTGTCTCTCATCCCAGAAGATGAGAGTAGGGACTGAAGCCCAAGGGAAAAGTCAGGTGTTCCTTTTCAGGGAGATTGATTAGATGAAAACAAAAAGGAGGGGAAGAAAGATCTATAGCCACTGTGAACATGAGAGCTGCCAGCAGAGCAATAGCTTCCAAGACATCCAGAAATAAGAGAAGGGCATAAGGAAATATATCAGAAAGAGAGCTGGGCCCCACATGGCAGGTCCTAGGGTTGGGAGGCAGACAGCAGAAGAGCAGCTTCTGTTGTGAAATCCGAGCCTGGCAGCATGTCTCTTGTGAATTGAGAATGAATTACTTTTTTGATGCCTGTTTTCAACTTGGGTTTGGCACAAGAGTAGGTTGACATAATGAAATGGGTATTTGAGGCAGCGCTTGGCGAAGCAAAATTATATAGCTTCCACCACGATGTTTGGTAATCACTGAGCTCTGTGTCTGCTGTTCTTACATGTGGTGTTGGCCCAACTATTTAACAGCTCTGGGCATAGATCCACTCATCTGTAAAGTAAGCCTAATGACGTCTACCTCACAGAATTTCTGTGAGAACTGATAAAAATTAAGCATTCAGTGACAATTAGCACCCTTTCCTATTACTTCATTATTTTTTGAAAAGATAATTGCTTTTCAGCTGTGGTACCTTGTTTGCATTAAAGCCCCACCCCCAGCATCAACTAGGAGCTCATTAAATATACAATGTATTGATCAATAATTGGGAAATAGAAAACCAAGTGGAAGCTAAAAGAGAATAGGATTTTTTTTTAATTTCGAAATTTTTACCTACTGTACATCAAATCCTACATGCTTTAGGTCAGCTTACCCACAGGATTCCCTCTGCAGCAAAGTTCCAGAATTTTCGACAGCAATGCCTCCCAATACAGCAATTCCTGGCCATATATGGCTGTTGCACACGTGCAATGACATCACATGAGACATTGGGAAGAATAATTTAATACAAGAGCTTCCATGGATATTGTAATTCATTCCCTCATAATAACAATTGTCAGGATGTACTGAAACAACACATTCAGCCCTCTGCCTTATCACTTTGTGCCATCACAATACCAATGTCCAGTACTATGACTGACAAATCTAGACTCTCACAAAATAAGTGTGGGAAGGAGTGAGGAATGGAGGAGAGAAGGGAAACACCATAGAAAGAGAAGGAAAGGAAAACAATGAGAGAAATAGGCAGTGCTATTTTCTTCCAAGGCTAAAAGGACCAGCTAAAAGCCTTTTCAATAAAATGTTCAATGCAGAGGGATTTGGGGGATGAAGATAGAGCCTGGTGCATTGGGGGACATACTTCCAAATGATACTGGAAGGATTTGACATCTGAGAGAACCGAAAATAGTAGACAGGATGGAGGGTAGAAGGATGCTTTTCTAGAATCCACATCCCCAAAATCAGTCTAGCAGAGTATATTTATGACAGCATCGTGTGTGTGTGTGTGTGTGTGTGTGTGTGTGTGTGTGTGTGTGTGTGTGTCTTTTATCTGTTAGTCCCCTTAACAAGGGACCAGCAGGAGGATTGTCCTGTGGTGTTCCCCTAGGCCATCTTTCTTGTTCATTCGACAGTCACCAGTTTCAAAAACCAAACCAAAACAAAACAAAAAAAAAATTGAACACATTTTCATTAACTGTTTATTCATTATAAATAGTAAATATTTACTGCACTTTTTACATGAAAGACATTTTTACAACACATCATTGTTGGTTGAGGCTGCAACACAAAGATACTATGTCTCCTGTTCCATCACCCTTGCCCAACGTATAAAATAGCTCAGTTCTATGTCTAGTCCCACTAATAAACTACCTCATTGTTCTTAAGTCTAAAGGGAATGTATTTGTGCCTACCTCATTCATGGTTCCAGGAACAGAAAGAAATAAATAACAGCACCTCCCACCTTCTTCCTCTTAACATTTCAAAACACAGATTTATTGACATCCTAAATGTCACCACATAAATGTATGTAAACCTCTGTTCCCTATCATCCTTTAATATTGGGTATCATTGTATAATTTAAAAGTATAAGAGAGCCATGTGGGCATTTCTGTTCTTGCCCTGCCTTTCGTAGAAAAGAGACGAATGTAAACGGCATCACTGTAGAAAGCATAAATCTTGAACATGGTCTCCAAGCAAAGGGAGCAAGCAGGTCAGGGCATTGGTGATTTGGCAACGAGCAAATATCACTGCATTCTACCACAATGAGTTATGGGCTGCAAAAATAAAAACACCTGCGAAAATATAGTTCTGATTTCATTACTATCACCTTGGCCATTGCCAAAGCATCGGTGAGGTACACAGTATTGCACGCTGAGAAGCAGATATGTGATAGGTGACACTTCTCCATCATGCCCTTCCCCCCCCCACACCCAGACTGGCTTCCAAATGAATGTATCTTGGGAAGGAAATGCCACTCATCTCTCCCCACAGCAGAAAACAGATTTTCCTCCTTATCCCACATCCTTTGACAAGACATATCTGGGACATTGACAACTAGATTACAAATGAGGGTATGGTAATAATTTATTGGGGAGATCCTTCACATCTAGTCTAGCTTCCTGTGAAATGGTGGTGTTAATTTTCATATCAGGTTCCAGTGTGTCGAAGTCAAGGATTCCCCCATTTCCAATTCATTAAGTAAGCAGTGTGAATGTTACAAACCCGAATGTTACAAAACCTTGGACATCAAACCTGTTCAATTTCAAGAATTCAACTGTGACATATGGGGACATTCTGCTTGCTCAGGCCAGTTCATGCAACTCTCTCTCTCTCCCTCTCTCTCTCTCTATCTCGCTCTTTCTCTCTGTCTCTCTCTCTCTCTCTCTCTCTCTCACACACACACACACACACACACACACACACACACACAAATGGAATGTTTTTGCTTCTTGATCAACACCAAAGGTTGGGGACATTTTGATATGTAGCCAGGTTATGTCACTGTCTTAAAATGATGCGTTTTATAGCTGTGGGTCTTCCTCATCTCCACTGCCTTTGTCCAATCCTTTCAAAGACTCTGAAACCAGCTACTGGAGAAAGAAATCAATCTTTTTCTTTATCTCCACCTCCCCCAAAGGCTGATTTTTTTTTAATTTGTTTTTGTTTGGGTTTTTTTTGTTTTGTTTTGTTTTGTTTCTGAGAAGATTCTTCATGTCTAGTCTGTGGAGGCCGGAAACAGGGCCAGTTTAGCTCCAAGTGGACAGTTCACTTACGCAATATCTGGCTTGAGATAATGAAAGGCACCTGTAAGGAAACACACGCAGCTTTTTAGGTCATGCTGGGACAATTCACAGTTAGGGGCAAGATCAGCTACAGGCTGACAATGTCATATTTAATACCACGGTATCAAAGGATCGAGACTAATATTTTTATTCCTGAGACAAGTTTGACACAACTCTGTGTCCCGGGCTTATCCCCATATGATCCTGGCGCTGACCTCATTAAGAACATGTGTTTCTAATGCCAGAGGTTATTTCATTTTGGCCAACCTCTGTGTTTTACCTACTGACAATCCGGCTTTACGTCCCAGCAATTAATAACTGCAAGATGTTATTGACATCAGCTAAGAAAATAATTACACAAGGGAGCCTGAGCTGTAGCAATCAGCTGGCTTTGCCACAAAACTGATACTGGGATGAAAGGCTTAAGCATGCTTCCAGTTCCTCTTTCTCAGACAAGAGCTGACGGCTCTCCCTTCCAGGAGGAATTGCCCCCTAGAACGTCCAAGGCTTACTTTGTCCATACTGCCCGTACTGGTAGCCTGTGACAGGGTCCATACTGTAGCCTGTGGTACTATAGGTGGGAGGACAATAGGGCTGAGATGTGGGCAGACTGTCCACATTCTTCATATGTTCCAGTCTCTGACTGCAGCTGGCTGACACCGTGGTCGTGGGCTCCAGGCCCCCAGTGAGAGGGGAGAGAGCATAGTCGGTCTGGGGCTGGTGCGGTACCCCACCGTGGTTGGTCAGAAGTCCCATTACCTGCAATAACAGGCAGATTGGAAGAAGTTAAAGTGTGGGCAGAAACAGATGGCAACCCAGAACCGTCGGAAGGTCTTGGCAAGGCAACTTTTATCTTTTGAGGGGTGTTCTGAGGACTTTGACCTCCATTCAAAGTGGCAGCCACATGACGTCACCCAACGATAACATCTGACTGTAGTTTCAGAAAAAGGAAGGAAAAGAAGGGAAGAGAGGAGGAAGACAGAGAAGGAGAGATTACACCATGTCTGCGGTGATAACATCAGACTGGAGTTTCAAAGAAAAGTAAAGAAGCAACACAGAGAAGGAGACATTATATCAATTTATACAGAAAAACCCCTAATATAGTACATCTGGACACCCAAGTGTGTGTGTGTGTGTGTGTGTGTGTGTGTGTGTGTGTACCTGTACATATGTGTGCATGTGTGTTTCTGGGGATTGGACTCAGGGACTTATACATGCTAAGCAAGTACTCTATCACACAGTTATAATCCCAGCCAAGCAATTAAAAAGTCACTTGCACATATCCAAAGGAGTATATGTGTATGCACATATGTGTGCCTGTACATGTTTATATGCACATGTGTGTACATATGTCTGTGCATATATGTACATGTTCATGTGTATATGTGTGCATAATATATAATGTATGTGTACAGTGTGTGTGTGCGTGCGTGCGTGTGCGTGTGTGTGTGTGTGTGTGTGTAAATTAGAAGATGGGGCTGGAGATGTAACTCTGTGGTAAAGTGCTTGCCTGACATAGAGAAATCCCTGAGATCGTCCTCCCAGCACCGTAAAAACTAAAAAAGTAAATGAACCTGTCAAGCATCTGTGCATGTATCCTGAGACCTGCATGTCTTTTTTCATCATATTCCCTCTCAGAACTGTTTCTCTTTGGTCCATCAGTCAGCAACTAGAGATCATTCCCCTCCCCAGGGTTCCCTTGTGCTTCGTTCATTGTGCCCACTATATGATCTCACTTTCCCAGTTTGATTTATGACACGCGAGAGCCATGCTGTCTGCTGCCTTCCTGCCCTCCACCACCACCCACCTCTGACGTTGCTTGGACACTAGTGATGCCAAACAAATCGTCAAAGATTCTTCAAGCAGCCACGGTTTACAATCCAAGCACTCAGAAGCTGAGGCAAAAGAATTGCCTTGAGTTGGAGGCTGACCTATGCTATGACTCTAGACCTTTTCTCAAAAAGCCAAAGTAAATCAAAAAATACTACAAGCACTTGCTTCTATTACCTACCCGTTTCTTCCTCCTCAGACTCACATTTTACATGTAAGAAGTGTTGAAAAGGACACATGTGGATTTGTGTTTGTTTTGTTTTGTTTAGGGTTGTAAATGACCCCAGAGAAGAAGACACTCTATCAAATAGTGATCACAGAACAAAAACCCTCAGGTCAGACCCATGAAGTTTTCCCTGAACTCATATGCGCTGGCCCTTCCAATCCTTTCTTTGTGGAATGTCAGCAGATAATTAATAAAACTAGAAGATGTCCACATGAGAGAAAGTGACTTTTCACAAGAAGCCACTGCAGAAGAAATCTACTAGTAGGTGAAGAACACCTTCCCCAAAGAAAAAAAGTCCTAGTAAAAATGTGTTTTGGTGAGACACCCCACAGCTGCATCAAGGTCCTGCCGAAGTAAACCCATACCGCAGTCCTCTGTGCTAAGCACAAGGTTACATTCACAGGCAGGCAATTCCGGCAACAGACTCCTGGATCTAAGGGCTCTATCACAGCCTCGTTGGAAGCTAGTCATGCACCCCTATAAAGCTTTCTTACTCGGATTGCAGAACTAAATCCTGTAACTTCCTTTGGGGCAAGTTTGCATGACCTTAGAAGTAAACAAAATCTTAATAAAATCTTAAACTGATCCATCTTCAGTGGGCTACAAGATACCATCCCAGAGGGGTGCTTACTGCCTTTCTCCATCCAAAAGGTCACTCCACTTCCTGCCCTGCCTTTCAATTACTGATAGGAACTCATACCACAAGGCAGGCCAGAACAGGCAAAGCAACATGGTAAGTCCAAAATTTGAAAGCCATCCCAGGGATAAAAATTTGTTGGAGCTATATGGCAAGATGTGCCCCCCCCAAAAAAAAACTCTAATCAAAAACTTAATCAGTAGTCGGAACATAGCCTTGTTGGGAATTGCAAGCAAGTGACCTTAACAACATGAGGTGCAATGAAGTGCAGATAGGTAGGCCACCAGCAACAGGAAGATGGTCTCTAGGGTCACTAGAGCAGGGCCTCTAGTGGAATCCTGTCCAACAATGCTGATGAGTTCCTTTCATTTGAATTTTTGGAATGCAACTAAGAATGCATTTAAATTATCTCCTCCATGCTTGCTACCTCCGGGATCCTCCTCTTCCTCTTCTTCCTCCTCCTCTTCCTACTCTTCCCCCTCTTCCTTTCCCCCCTCCTCCCCTTTTCCCACCTTCCTTTGAGCTTGTATAAATAATTTTACAGTGAGTACTTGGAAAATTCATCAACTTTTGTTGACTCAGTAACTAACAAAATACTTTATTTCGATCCAAATTAGGAGTGACTATCTTTAAAGTCTTTAAAAATATCGTTTACAGCTGGGTGTAGTGGACCCCAATGCCTGTGATCCCAGCACTTGGGAGGTGAAGGCAGAAGAATCTGGAGTTTAAGTCTGATCTCAGTCACACAGCGAGCTTGAGACCAGCCTGGGATGTGTGAGACACGGGTACTAAGCAAGCACACTGCTTTCAGCTCAAGAAGTACGTGGGCTGACCTGATGAAAAGGACAGACAGGGCAAAGAAGCAAGTGGGAGATGTGATTTTTCTTATGGAAGAGGGTAATGGCAAGGGGAAGGGTGGGGGAGGGTACACATGTGCTGGAAGTAAGCTGTGTTCAGTTAAACAAGCACATGGGGAAGACAATTTTGACTCTAGCAGTCCTGAAAAGAAAGTACCCAGTGGTATCGGTTAAGAAGGAACTAAATTGTAAATGACTAGTGTGCTTCGGGAAGGTCTTTATTTAAAACTCAGCTCACCATATGTGACTTTAAGGGAGATATGGGATGTTTAGGTACAGTTATGGGGCTTCCATGAACTATACAGACATACTTTTGTAAGAAACTTTCCTGCTGCATAACTTTGAAGGAAACAGTAATAATTTTTTTCCCAAGGGTGAGGAAACAAAATGGGAGGCTTTTTTTTATTTTTCTGTCTGTCTGTCTGTCTGTTTGTTTGTTTGTTTGAGACAGGATCTCTCTATATAGCCTGGTTGTTCTGGAACTCACTATGTAGACCAGGTTGGTCTTGAACTCTCTACCTCCCTCTGCCTCCCACATGCTGGGATCAAAGGTGTGCCTAGTCAGAGTCTTAAACAATGGGAAACAACCATTAGCCAAAAATTCAGCTTTATGACCCTGTTCATGCTGCAACTTTTTACAGCATTCACATCAGAAAACAATTTAGAATAAAATTTCGCCCTAAAAACTTGAGATTATAGCTATTAGAAGATAGAGAAAATAGAGCTGTATTCCGAACAATGCATAGATAGCCTTTAAGATTCTAAGTATTTGCAGAGTGGAGAAGTACACCCCTTTAATCCCAGTACCCTGGAGGCAGAGGCAAGTAGACCTCTATGATTTCAAGACCAAGGCTACCTGGTGAGATCTTGTCTTAAACAAAAGAATAAAGCATGATAATATGAACAAAGGAGTCAAGACCATGATGGGGAAACTCACAGAATCAGCTGACCCGAACTAGTGAGAGATCATTGACTCAGGTCTGACAAATGGGGAACCTGCATAAGACCAAACTAGACTCCCTTAATATAGATGACAACGGTGTGACTGGAACAGTATATGAAGCCACTGGCAACTGAGCCTAAGATCTAACACTAAAGCACAAATTGACTTTGTGGAGACAATTCTATATGGAGAGATACCTTGTTCAGCCCAGAGACAGGGGTGTGGGAGGTGGAGACATGCCTTGGTCTGGCCTCAAGAGATGGTGTGTTTGTTTTTCAAGACAATCTCTCTGTGTAGCTATGGCTGTCCTGGATCTTGCTCTGTAGACCAGACTGACCTCAAATTCACAATGATCTGCCTGCCTCTGCCTCCCGAGTGCTAGGATTAAAGGCATGTACCACCACCGCCTGGTTGTCTCAATAATTCATATTTTTAAAAACTCAAACACACCACCTTAACAGCCTGTAATTTAAAAATTAAAAGAGAAATGTGGGGGGGGGGGGAGGTGAACATATCACTAGAAACGGCATTACTTTCCCTTGACATAATTCAAAAACCTCAAATCTCTGAGGAAGGGTCCTGTTACACTTTTAAGTATGTCTCCTTTAAAGCTATTTTATGCTTCATGTGGCTTAAAGGAAACTATGGAAACATCTCTGCATGCACAAGAAGTCAGTAAATATGCTTCTTAGCCCTCCCCCAACAGACATGGAATGCCATGCAACCCTAGTCTCTGTCCAAGAACATCGCCAGCACCAGTGTTCCACCCGTCATGCTTTTCCTGCAGAAATTGTTTGTTCAAAGCCTAAAATAAAACCTTCGTGTTTTGTAAAATGAATCCCTGTACTCCTCCCTTATACCATTAATAATCTAGGTCTACTACAAGGCTGACTTTAAAAACAAATGAGTACGGGAGAGGAGCACAAGTGCTTTGTTTTCAAAAATAAATTTCAAAGGAAACAGTTTCAAAGCTACTCCATTCTGCCTCCCAGATGCTGAGCACATCTTTAGGAAATGACAGGTAAGCCAGGGACCTCAGGAGGAAGAGGGGTTTCCTTAAACAAATGTTTTATCCTGTTGGGAAACGATGAGGGTCACTGACTGTTCAGGAGTCTATATATACAAATGTGTGTATTTGTGTGTGTACCCATGTACATGCAACAACGTGCACATGTATGGTGTGGGATGATGGGAGTGTGCCATAGCATGACAATGAAGATCAGAGGACAAAATTGCAGGAGTCGTCACTTCTCTCCTTCCACCATG